AAGTATTTCCAGGAATTTGAATTAGAAAAAATATTGAAGGAAACTTGAAATCTAAGTTTTAAAAGAATCTACCTTTTTGATTGCTGCAGAAATGTCCTATGCACTGTTTGTAAGAGCACACAAATGTCAGATACTAATTTTTGCAAATTACATATATTTACTCTCATGAAAAATTTTTATCTTATTCTTTCTGTAAAAACATATCACATTACATGGAATATTCAAAATTTGAAAATTATAATTACCTACAGAGCTTTGAAAAGACAGAAGTATGATTTGAAAACATTTTCACAATCTGAGATTTTAATATTTATACGAAAGATTATTGAGCCTAGGATTGCTATTATTTGTTAAATTATGTAAAATTTGATAAAATAATATTCTGGGTCTGGTTTGTCAGAGAATAAAATTCATTAGTGTAGAAAAACTATTTCTCCACATTTATCCTAAGATCTTTTAGTACTTTGCAACACCCAAAAACAATCCAGTTGTCCTTGTGTTCCATAGTAGCTGGTGATTTTTATAAAAATGGAGTTTTACCCCTTAATCTCTTAATTGCATTTCTTTTCTATAAATGAGATAAAAATTCTTAATATCACTTTACATTTGTATGTGTTAATTGCATTAAAGTTTTAAAATATAATCTAATTGGATTAAATACTTGTTTACTAATTTTAAGTAATCACTATTATCTAATACCTCCATTTGGAAAACTTTGAAGTATCAAGCATACCCTGTATACAGCTAGAAAGTTTTTAAATGGATATTTTGTTCATTGAGCTGTAGAAATTTACTTTAATCTACTATTATTGAAAAAAAAGATTTTAAAAAATAGTTTTGCAGGTAAGAGTAGACCAAGAACAGCCAGGCATGGCCGTGCACATCTGTAATCCCGGCACTTGGGAGACAGAGGCAAGAGGATCACCACAAGTTTGCAGCCAACCTGGGTTGCATAGTGAGTTCAAAGCCAGCCTGAATGACCAGCAAGACCTCATCTCTAAAACAAACACCAAGATAAAAATGACTTTTCTTGTAGACATTCCCTATAGATATATTACATTACTTTAAATAGCATGACAGCTTTAAATTTAAGTCTGGTCAAAAGAACTTTTCAGATCTCTCTTAAGCCTGCTGTCCCCAGGGATACTATAACTTTTCCATTGGGAGATGTAGCCAAACTCTGAATTTCTTTTGTCCCCATCCAGCTTCTGGGAAAGAACAACCATTCTGCTTGAAAATAGTGGAATTTTTTTCCCTTTTTAACACTAGCGTAGAGAATGAAAATTATATGAATTATTTAATGCTATTTTATGTAAGTGGTTTGAGTTTTGATGACCTTCAAAGGTCTTATATCAAGCTTTTATAACAATGACTCTTTGATTCTTTACATTTCTATGCTTTTAAAACTGAATCTGTTATCTCTCAACTACTTTGTTCAATGTGAAAATGTCTTCGTTCATGAGAAAATAGTGCCAATTGATAAGTCTATTAAAAATTAAGAATATGAGGGGCTGGGGATTTAGTTCAGTGGTGCCACACCTGCTGGGCAAGCACAAGGTCCTGAATTCAACTCCCGGGACCAGAAAAAACAAAAAAATAAAACACCAATATGGTATTGTGAAGAACAGTTTGAAATAGTCAGGGGTGGTGGCGCACACCTATAATCCCAGCACTCAGGAGGCTGAGGCGGGAGGATCACTGTGAGTTCAAGACCAGCCTGGGCTACACGGTGAGTTTCAGGGCAGTATGAACTACATAGCAAGACCCTGCCTCAAATAAATAAATAAATAAATAAACAAACAATAAGAGTTTGAAATACAACAGGTAGATGTTTCAAGACAGTAATATTGTCAATTTTTTAATAAGTGATTTTAGAGAACTATAAGCTACTTTAATGTGGATTGCATAGTTTAGAGATGCAAAACTTAAACGTTTACATCAATTTATTTTGAATGTCACAGAATTTCATAGAAAGGAAAGGCAGTTTGTTATTTTAACTAGATTCTAATAACAGAATTTGAAAGAAAATTAATTAACTTTTTGATCTGTACACTTAGTGTAATCCTGAATATTCTTACATATTAAATGATTGGACTTTTCACTCAAACTGAGTCACTCAGGCTGAGATTTTGTTTTAAAAACGTTTAGCATCATTCATTTAAACATTCACTGTGGGCCAGGGATTTAGTTCAGTGGTTTTGCCGCCTGCCTTGCAAGCACAAGTTCCTGAGTTCAATTCGGTACCAA